TGCGAAATGTAACAGCGGTACGTAATAATTATGTACATAAATCGCGCGACGCACGTGACGCAAAGGCCTTTAAAAGTTTTGCGGAAGGAGAGAAAAAAAAAGAGTTCGTTACGCCTGTGATTAATGCGCGCGACAGGCTTTCAATGTTATCGTTTCGCCCGCGTGCCGTAACGCGGAAGCCCTGACGTCAGCGATCGTAATCGAGAGCCTGGCGAAAAATTGCCTCATTTTCGGGCAAAGCTGGAAAATCGAAATTCCGCGACCGTGAATCGGAGTCGAGTTTTCGCCCGCGTAAATTGTCGCTTCTCATTATTTCTTATTGCGAACAGAAGTCGCGCCGCGCAATTAGAATTTTCCATTACCTTTTATCGCATGTGGGGACGAGAGTTGGAAATTTTACACTTTTACGTAACACGTCGCGTCACTTGGAGCCGTCAAAAGTGTCGCGCCAAGCTTTTCCCGCATTCATCCCGGGGCACAATAGAACTCGGTAGTGTCGGGCAACGTGACGTCTGTTTTTCTCGCGAACAGCTGATTCACAGCTGGAATTTCAAGCGCGTCTACACGGGCGGTCGTATCGACGCTTCCTATCTTCTCGCATCGATAAAGAATAAGGGGTTGCGCATTGATACGTCGGAGATGAGTCATCGATTTTGTGCGGTTCAATATACAAGATATCGCGCGACCTGGCACCGCTACATTTTCTTTTATCGGAATTACACGTATCTTATATCACGAGGAGAAACGAATTCGCAGCGGTGCGAGGAGGAATTTGATTATTCTTAGGTCCGGTTTCATCAACGTTGTTTAACTTCAAGTGTAGCTTAATGCGTTCTTTGTCTCTTGCTAAAGTAACAGTTGGGGAGAAACAAAGAACGAATTAAACTAGGCTTAAAGTTACGCGACGTTGGTGAAATTGGACCTTACACTGTTAATTTCACGTTTTTTGTTTTTCGCTGTTTTTGAACTGAATATCTTTTACACAGAAAAAATATTTTCCAAAAGTCGACCAGACCGGCGAAAAATGTGATGTTTATTTAGTCATTACGTGTATACCTTTTTTTCGGGTCATTTTCGAGTACAGTCTGGAAACAAATTTTAAATGTACAAGCCGCAATACTAAGAAAGGAATTTTTAATATGTGCATAAGTATGTATTATAAAGAAAAGAAATACCTAATGCTGACTGAACAACTTAATTAATGCCGAAACAATAATAAATATCTAATGAGAATATTCTTAAAAGTCGCCAGCAGTAATTAACAACATCAGAGTAATTAACAAAAATCTTTGATAATAATAAGTATATTTTATTTTATCGTATCGGTATGTCATGATTAAATTATCGAGGATTAACAAGAGCACGATGCTTCGTTAAATGTGAGCAGATCTTAATTCTTCTGGATTCTTTTCAGGATTATTCGAAACTAGGACACATAATGAGCTTCAAATCAGGTTGAAACTAAGGCCACCCATTGCTGTTTACACAGTCTTCGACGATAATGGCTTTTCGAAGAACGTTTTATTTATTGATAAGGATTTTTATGGGCCTAAAGTACACATAGTATCGGATTACGAGAATTTCTTTCTGTTTTTCTTTCGAGAGCTAACAAAAAAAGGGGAAACCCCAGAAACTGGATCTCCTTATCACGCAGACGCTAGAAAGTGGAGTGCGGCTCGGAACAAAAGTCGCGATCGTCGACCCTACGACGTCGCGATTATAATTAACTAATCGTAACTTCGGCAAGTAGATCTCGGAGAGCCACGACTGAAATCTTTCGCGCCTTTCCAGACGATGTTCAAATTATTTAATAACTTGACAGTTTTATACGGCTTTTGCACGTGCCAAAACGATTTTCCCTGGCCGAGACATTGCACACTGAAGTCGAGATAATTTCAATGCTAATAAAAGGATTGCTGCAAACATTACTTTGTAGTAACGCTTTTATTATTATTATAGCATCGAAATGCGTGTCTTTCTTTACTTTCTCATTATATCTCAATGCTATTTAAATTTATTTTTCCAGCTATCCTCAAGTAATATCCAAGTATACACCGTGTCGGTCTCCAAAAACCATTTTTGTCCCAAAGCTATCGGATCCCGAACATACAATGACACAGGAAAGTCGACCAAGAAAGTTGTTTTTCATACGTAAAGATCAGACCAGGTGACCCAGAGTTTTTCACGTATTGGACCCGAATCCGTTGTAAGTCTTTTCTTATCAGGACAGGTCAGATTCCGAGATATTCCAACTTGAAGGTGCAAAAAGGCCATTTTCAGGCAAATTTGAATTTATGTCGCACGTAGAGGAAATCGTTTTGCTTATTGCCGTTTGTGCACTGAGAAAAATGTCCGATTAGATATAACCGATTAAAAAAAATCCAATTGCATAATAACAAACGGATATATCCAATTAAATGGTATATCAGATAAAAAAATATGATCGGTTTTTCAATCAAATTTCATCGAATGTGTCCGTAATTTGTTCGGAAAACGTAATCGGAAAAATTAACCGTCGGAAACACTATTTAATAGGTTTAGCCGATGAAATTTTTCTCAGCGTGATTGTGAGATTAGCGTAGAGACTTTAATCTTTTCACAATTAAGAGCAATGCATTAGAAGTGCGCGTTAAAAAGCGATACGATTTAAGCAATTTTGTCGATTTAATTCCAACTCAGAAAAAAAAGAAATTCGACTCCACACCAACAGTGCTCGACTCGTATATCTCTGCAATGCATATTGCAATCGTGAAATTTGCATGAAGAATTCCTACGCGAGAAGTGAATTTTTTTCATCAAATTTATTATGAAAATCATATAATCGTGGGACAACGTGGCATTTTGAAGAATCTATACATTTTACTATAATTATAGCAAATACACACGTTACTAGTAGAATGTGTGATAACATTTCAGAGAACTATCATAAAATTATTCAAAATGCCATTTTGTTCTACGTTTTCACGGTAAATTAAAAAAAAATTCTTTCCGTGTACTTTGAATTTTGTTAAACCTACACTGAAAACAATATTTAATTAAATATAATCGAATATCAATTATTATTAAAGGCCATAATAAACGAGTATTTATTAAACATCAAACAGTAGAAAATTTTAAATTAAAACATTTTACTGTAATTCTATAAGGTGTTTACTAAGATCGAAGTTTCACAGCGAAGAAAACTGGATTTCTTATTTGACAAAAACAATGGTTTCATTTAAAACAAATAGTATTCTCTATCTCGTGAAATCTTTAGTTAAATGTAGAAAATGTACTGATTTTAATTAATTTACTTAATACAATACACAGGTTTACTTGAAATTTTACATTTTTATCTAACTAGAACAAATACTTGTTCCAGTAAAAAAGAGTTAAGCAATCTTGGCTTTGGAAGCCATGACGACTAAAGAGTTAAGCAAATCTGTCTACTCAGTTCTAAAAATTTTTTTGTCAGTGTATCCTCGGACATATCCATTATTTGATCGGAAACGTAATCGGGAAGATTAACTATAATCGGACGCACTATCTGATTGGTTTATCCGTAGAAAATTGCTCTCGCTGTAGGTAACGTTATCAGGTATTCTCCCTCTCCTCCGGGAGAAATAGACAAGCCTGGCATCGCCGAGCCACTAGAACAAAGAATCCTACAGCCTGGATAGGCCCGAGGTAGCGTAGGCGTAACGATTGGCGGTGGTGCGCCGTGCAACCCTTGGCCGAGCCTCCGCCACCACCACCGAACGGCACGGATAACGATGCGTAACGCAAGGCGGAACACGAGCCGAAAGGGAAGGAGCACGTAGGGGAAACGAGGCAACGAGGTTTCCAAAGCTCAGTCGTCTAGCAGCCGCCGAGCGGGAAGCCCCGGTTCGCCGGTCGAATCGCTTTGTCGGGTAGCATCGCGTTGCGTCCACCGTGCTGGTTTCATACCTGCGGAACAATTCCACTTATACGAGAGCAAGGAAGGAAGGGAGAAAGGGGGGAGAGGAGCGGCTGGCGTCTCCGGTCGTTTTTCCAGTCAGCTTTTCCCGGTCCCAGTCCGCGTGTGACGTTCGACGACGCTCGACGGAGGATCGATTCCCAGACACGGCCTGGAAAGGTGAGTGCTCGGACTCGGAGTGCCAGGAGGCCCGCGGGTCCGACAATTTTCGAACGTCTCAGTGCGGGCGTTTCAGGTCCCTTTAACTTCATCCGCTCCAGATTTTTCATTCCCTTCGCCCGTTTCCGACGAGTCCCTGCATCCCGCGAGGTCTTCGTCATTTTGTCCATGTCGCAGCTTCGCGGACAATAAATCTGAATCGTCGTCGAATCGTTGTCGCCGCGGGACAGCCTCCGGCCGCGTTGCTCGCATTTCCTTCGCGTTTCGAGGGCAATAAACTGTACAAACTCGAGGGGGGAAGGAAGGAGGGGAAGAGAAATAACGTTAAACGCACCCGAAAGGGACGGCCTGCTGACGGCCGTCCGCATACCTGTTGGATCATTTAACGTCGGTCCTCCGCGACGTGACGCCACGTCGGGGCGTTGATCCGCGCCGGATCGATCGATTCTCGTGGGTTCCTTGTAAACACTGGGAGCGTAACGGAGAGCCGAGCGGGCCCAGCACAGTACGCCTGGCGTCGCTCCCGAAATTCGAGGGGAAATTTGTGACGCGGCTCCATCAGCCGCGGGGCTGCGTGAGAGGCGAGTTCGGGGAGGGCGGTTCGTAAGGTCAACGCTTCCTTAAAGCGGACATTCTAACCGGGTCATAATTTAAGGACCCCAGCCCTGAAGCTTAATCTGCAACCCCGATAGCGCAGGACACTCCTACACACAGAAAAATATTGTACAGTTAAGAGAAGTAATTACTCAGTTTATTTTATTCCGTTTAAGTAATAGCTTGCCTCAACAAAGAATATTTTCTTAATAATAGTTTTAAGATATACTTGTTACTAGTCTTAGAAAAGCTTGCCATCTTATACTCAAAGAAAGAATTTAATTCTTCTTTGAAGAAAATTATAAAACTTATTGAAGAATTCCGTATGCTTCTTTTAATAAAATCAGAAGAAACGAAATTGTTTTGCTTCAAATAATTCTATGTATTCTTGTTTCAAGTACTAGACTTACTGAGAACCAGAATATGTTTTGAGTAAATATAACACTTGCGACGACATGATTACGATAGATTTCTGGATATATAAACTTATCAAATACTTGGAACAAATAATATTTACTTGCAGGTAGTATATATTTTTCTGTGTGTAGGAACATTTTTCGGAATATTCTTCGAGAGTATTTGGAATATTCCATTTTTATATATCTATCTTATGTTCGTCGAGCATTCGACTGGCACTACCGTAAATCTTTCTCGAATGCGAATAGAATAGAATCTGTCGAATATAGCGTGTCGGTTATACATGGTGTGATCACAGGTTGCACTGCCTTTTGCATTAAGTGCATTGCACAATGAACAATGTGCGATACATAAACTCGACGAATATTAAAAAATTATTCCGAACGAATGTTCCAAAGACATTCTCGACGAATATTCTGAAAACGTTCTTCCTTGTTAAATATACGATTTCTAATTGTAATAATCTATATATTTGTAGAATACTCGATTGGAATATTCTGAAATTAAGAATATTTGCACTCGAGAAGAATATTCATAGGACTGTGTGTGCTATGTGCTGTGGTGTAATCGCAGGTTTCACTGCCTTTTGCATAAGATAAGTGTATTACACAATCAACAGTGCGCGACACATAAACTCGATGAATATTTGGAAATTATTCTGAACTTGACACAGTGGATAAGTTTAGTCGATCTTATCTGGCACGTGTTTAATAAATTAAAAATCAAAAATATACAGTGCGACGTTTCGACCAAGGATTTAGGTCAAGCACACATCCTAAAAAGGATAAACCAATAATTAATCGGAGCTACACGCTTGTCATATGTAGATACAAATAAAATTGGAAGAAGAATTCAAAGTAATTGTACAATAGTATTGTGTAAAATGAGAGTGAGAGATGAGAGATTGTGTTAAATAACAAATTGAAAATAAATCTTCGACCATGCAGTCACTGGCCTTAAAAATTAATCGCGTCACTGTAACGTGTAATTGAACGGTAAAAATTAAAACACACACGCGCGCGCACACGCACGCACGCACGGACATTATTAAAACGGGGGGGAGGGGGAAGGTGCAAATTGGAAATTTGCACATTGCTTCCTCATCATGTAGCCTTTTTTTTTATTTTAAATTGGAAATTTGCAAAATGCAACATCAGCATTTTGGCAAGTTGTCTATTCAATTTTTTTTTTAATTTTAAAGGTGCAAATTGGAAATTTGCACATTGCTTCCTCAACATCTCGACTATTTTTTTTATTTTAAAGGTGCAAATTTTAAATTTGCAAAACGCAGCATCAGCATTTTGGCAAGTTGTTTTTTATTTATAAGGTGCAAATTGGAAATTTGCAAAATGCAACATTAACATTTTGGCAAGTTGTCTATTCAAATTTGGCTTCCTCATAGAGAAAGCTTTGTGTGCAAATAAAAATTCTGGAGTAAGCAATTTTCATCATAGCCTCTTCTATGAGGTTGCCCAAAGTTTTAATAATCACTTGCCTTCATGATGACGAAGTAATGTCCAAATTTCCAATTTGCATTTTTACAAGTTAGAATGAGCAATGTCCAAATTTTTAATTTGCATAACTGAGTCGATGTATGTATTTTGGTCCTCTTTATCGGAAGCCATTTCGTAGTCGTAATTACGAGTGGGAAGCACGAGGAAATAAATAGAGCTTATCAGTTTGTCGGACTACGATAAAAAGGTTATTTGAGTTTACGATGCCTATTTATCGTGCAACAATGACATAATTACACAGCGTATATCTACGGTATTTAAGGGGTTACACCAGTCTAGACAGTCTTGCGCAAGGGTAATTTCGGGAATTTTTTTTACATGTAAAACAAAGTTTAAAATTAAAACTAATTTTATGGCTTTATTATACATATATTATAATATGAAAATTAATTTTTTTCGTCCATTTATCATTAAAAATAGCAGTGTGAGGGTCCGGTCACTGGATGGCTGCTCTGCGAGAGGTGCTCCGGGGCTTGCAGCATAACGTCCACAAATTTTATCCTAGAACAAAAAACCAAAAATTTCTTTATTTTTTATGAAAATAGCTAGAGAAATACGTAGGGAATTTTTAAAATGACGGTTGGTTTGGAAATGGCAAGCCTCTGAAAAAAAAGTCAATTTTTTGGTCAAAAATTGTCGTATATAATTGCTTATAAAAAGAAAAGTTTTAAACATATCGAAAAACGGCTACGTACTTCTGTGCAGAATTTAGTTAGTCCCAATTTGCCGCAAACTTGAAATGATTTGGATGAAAATTGTTCGAGTTATGCTGCGAGCCAATTTGAAAAAAGTTGTTCTGAGAAAAACGTGTTTAAAGTTTCAAGTAAGATTTTTTTAACATAATGCACAAATTTTTGAATTTTAACCCAACGTACCTTTAGTCTGCTATGCCTGCACCATAAAGCTGTCCTTCTAGGTTTAAATCTTCATCCTCTTTTTCTTTTCTGGTTGATTTTAATGATTGTCGGGCCTCCCTCGCAGCATAAAAGCGCAACACTTCACAATGCTATTGAAACCAATTCCTAATAAACGCATTGCTAATATAATTCGGCGACTAATTTCGTTTTTTTTTTCTTTATCAATAAATGGACTGTTCGGAATACAAATGTTTTCACCTTTTTCACAAGAAATAACGATTTTAAACCCCAGGCCACGTTTAGCCGTCTCGGTGAACGACACATTTGTCCCGCACTTTTTACATACAACATTATCCGAAATAACAGAGAAAACAGCCACGAAATTAATTAAACGATAATTTATATTTATAATATAAATTATAATTATAAATATAAATAAAATTATAAAAAGAAATAAAAAACCGAACGATTGATTTACTTCAATGTCGTCGTTGTCTGCAGACATTCACAGCTTCTTGGCGGAGGTGCTCATTATCCGAACAGCCTTCCGCTTCATACCGGTTCATCGGGCGATGATGAGTCTTTAAGACCAAGTATACCTTATTCTTAACACTATAAAGTACACTTTTAGCGAAAAAAAATTTTGCATTTTTTGAAAATTCTAGACTGGTGTAACCCCTTTTAAATGGAGTAGTGCGATTCGTAGCTCGAGCGAATGCGACGTTCGTTGGCGACAGAGAGGCTTCCTTTTCCTGTAGTACACTGCGAAACATGTCCACTCTAAATTCAGCGAAATTATAACGGAAAAAAGTGACTCTTTTCCACTTTAAGTAAACGTGAAATTAAAGCGGAATTGCGTATACAGGACATTGTCCTAATAATAATGTCCCGTATAAATAGAAGGGAAATTTAGCAAATTTTTCAATTTTCTCCCTGATATATTGTAAGAAAGAATTTATCACCTGGAGGGCAATGTTTCATTAGACAAATTGCATTAGACAAAACATGAATTCATCGCAATTACACGTGGTACATTTACCGCGATAGTTACCGCGTCTATCCATTTCCATATTGCTCCGCAAAAATTAGCGACAAAATTATTAAACTTAATATTGAACTGTTGCATCCAGGTGGTCGATTCTGTATCTTACTATACGAGTACTATAGTGAAAATACTAAAAGTGTGCAGTCCTGTCTCTTTCTAACTGTTCCCTTAGAAAGAGACAAAGCCGCTCACTTTTAGCATTTTCACTATGCGAGATCCAGAATTTACCTGAACATCAGAAATCCATACAGCACGCACGTCTAAAAGACACATTTAAGACGTCTTTTGGACGTGCGTGCTGTATGGCAACTGTCAGAGCATCCGGAACTACCTGGGACTCAATCGTGAATCTTCTCCTCCTCCAGAGTGAATTCTCGCGAAAAGTGAAGAATTTCATCGAAGAATTTCGTCAATAAAATTTTTCACTTTTCACGAGCTCGCGCCAGAAAAGAATATTCGAGCGTTCGGCGCGAGTTGAAATTGCCGCCGCACTTATCGAGCCTCAAATCTGTCGCGATGCTCACGTTTCATTTGTTTTCATTTGCTGATAGTTGTGCAATTACTTTCCCGTGC